TGCCCGAGGGCTCCTACTTCATACATGCTACACTTAGAAAAATTTCTAAGTCCCAAGAGTTCTTACCCTCGGTCAAATCTCCCTACAGCCCGAGGGCCATGCGGATGAGGACTTGGCAAAAGTATACTTAGAAAAATATTCTATGTCCTAACTATTCCTGGGCCCTCGGTCATGCGTCCAATCAGTGAGGGGTATCAACGTACCGAAGGCTACACAATATCCAAACACTTAGAGATTTTCTAAGTCCTAAACATCTCGCCTCCAGTCATCTCATGAAGGCTACATAGAACCGGAGGGAAGGATCAGCCGGGGGCCAACAGATGAACAAACACTTAGAAATATTTCTAAGTCCTCAACATTGTGCCCTCGGTGAAAGGTTCAACTGACTCAATATACTTAGTGGCCGAGGGCTACGAGAAGCACTACACTTGGGAGAATATATTCTAAGTCCTAAACAAGCATTCAGAAAAGCGAAGGCATACACTCAAAGAAGGGCGAAGACATACATTCAAAAGAAAACGATGGCATACATTCGAGAAGAAATGAATTAAAGAGGACAAGTCATATACACAAAGCCCGAAGGCAATCATTCATTCGTCAAAAAGAGGAAATTCAAATGTATATGTTACAATATATGGCCGAGGCCGAGAGTACACAAACATTACAAACAAAAAGGAAAAGTGTTCAAACAACTATTCATCTGCTTTACGGCCTCGGAGTTCTTCAGGATGAGCTCCTTCATCTCCCGGTCCTGCTCCGCCTTCCGGAGGCGCCATTGCTCAAGCCTCTGTGCGTGCTCCCCGAGGGCTACGCAAGCATGATAAACAACGGGAGCAGGGGTCAGATTAACATGAAAAGAGCATTAAAAGTTAAACGCAAAACCTAAGGGAGCAAACTTACAGTTAATGAAGACCGAAGGATCCTGTTCTCGAGGGCCTCGCCATCATATGTGGAGAGGGCAACCTTGTCCATTACCGAGGTCATCCCCCTCAGAAAAGCTTTTGGCTCCGCTGAGCCGTGTAGGACAGAAGCCCCCGGGGCCAAAGAGAGCTGCAAGATCTCCCGAGGGGGGCTTCTCAGGGGAGGATTGGTTTGGGCTGTCGCCGCAGCATCAATAGGGGGGTCCGGAGAGGGGCGATCCTCAATGATCACCAAGGGGGCATCCTGGCCGACAGTGCCCCTTGTGCCCCTCTGCTTCTTAGCCGGGGGCTGAACCACCTTGCTCCCCTTTTTCTTTTTTGTGGCCCCCTCCGCCACACCGACGACTCCCTCTGCAGCAGAGGGCTCCGGAGCCTCTTTTTGGAAGAAGGCTCCCACAGGCGGTTGGACCGAAGGGTCCTTCTTTTGGGCTTGGGTCTTGCCCTTCTTCTTCTTCAGAGCGAAGAGTTTGCCAGCATCCATGTTAACACCTGCCAACAAAAACAAAGGGGTTAGACCGAAGGAGAAAAGAGCAAAAAAAAGAAAAGGGGGAAAAATCCTAAGTGCAAAAAAGGAAGCCCTCGGAGACTACCTCCTCCCAGCACAGGATACTTCTCGTCTGTTTCGCCGAGGAAGCGATATCTGCGGAAGCCGAGGGCGAATAGCTCCTTGTCAGGTGTGAAGTCCTTAATGGACACTTGCTTCGTGCGACCCTCCGGGATCTTGGCTATTATCAAGCTGTCCTTCTCCAAAGCAGCACTTCCGACCTTCGGATGCCGACGGAAGCGATCCCTAAGTTCCATCGGAAAGGGGCTCTCGGCAATCCTAACGTAGCACCACCGCTCCTTCCAGCCTTTGTTGGACGAGGGCGCTTCTGTGAATAGTTTCCACCGAGCCACCTGTTGCAGATTGGCGAAGCCCTCGACGTTCGCGTGACCCCCGCGACAGAGATTGAAGCTCTGGAAAAACAAGTCCAGGCTGGGGGTCACCCCTCGGGCCCGGCAGAGGTTCAGAAAGCCCGCCACGTAGGAGTGGCTGTTGGGCGTCAACTGGCAGGGGACCAAGCCCACATACCGGAGATACTCCCGAAGGAATGGGTGCAGGGGAAACCGGAGCCCCATTGACACCGACATGATGTGCACGGCAATGCAACCCTCGGGGGCCCGGGAAAGCACATCATCAGGGCCCGACGCCACCACCACAGCCGAAGGCCCCACGTGCAGCTGGGTAACGTACATGTCTTCCCTATCAGCCTTCGACCCTATCTCCAGGGCAGCAGTATTTAGCCAGGAGTACCCCTCGGGCACATCTATGGGCTTCCCCTGATCAGCATCAACACTTTTCTTCTTAGGAGAAGTTTTCTTCTTCTCCGGTTTTTTCCCGGGGGCCACTCTTATCGGTGTCGGGTTGAGGGGCCGAGAGCTCCCTGCTTCACCAGCACCCCGAGGGAGAAGGACAGCCACTGTCACCTTCATCCTCTCCTTTTCTTCTTCCTCCTCTGCAACTTGTACGGCGAGGGCAAGCTCTTCATCCTCCGTCTCCTGCTCGAAGCCCTCGGCTTCAACTTCAGCCACCAATTCCTTCTGCACCTCCATCGCCATCGCGACATCCTCTTGGGCCGAGGGCTGCTCACTTGAGGACCCCGCGTCCGAGAAGCTCTCCTCTTCCATCGAGGGATCCCTCGATATGTCCTGGGAATCGCTTTGAGAGGACATCTTTCCACTGGTTCGAGGGCTCGAAAACACTAAGTGTTCTAGATTACAGTCCTAGATCTAAGGCCGCTACAACTAGCTAAGGAGGGAGAAGAACAGATGGGGAACTAACCTTAGGACAGAGATTGATCGAGGGCTGCAGTTTTTCTCTCTAGAAATTTTAGCAGAGCTTCGCTACAATGATTTCGCACAAAGGGGAGTGAAGCCGGCCATGGGGTATTTATAGGCGCTGGGATCCGGGCTTGGGCCTGGAAACCGGGCCTCCGGTTGGACTGCCATCATTACCAACCGTGGTTTCACCCAATCGGTGACGCCCGCCCACGGGCAGCCAACGAGCATGCACCACGTGGCAACCCCCCATCGGCTATATCCTGACGTTACATATTCCAACGGCTATATTTCCAACGGCTATATTCTGGGAGCCCCCGGGCTTTTTACTTCACTCCGCTTCATCAAGAAGAGCCCCCGAGTACACTTACCCGGAGACACTCCCGGTTTGTGCCCCCCACACTACATAACAGATGCCTTCGGGATCACTCCTTCAGAAGCCCAGGGCTTCATATCAGGCCACCCCTCGGGGATCCCCCCTCAACACTTTGAGGGCCGGGGGTAGCCCCCGGGGAGTACGCCTCATTGACGGATAGTCTACGGCACACATGTAATGGGAGCCCTCGGATATCCTCATCACCAACTAGTCAACAAACAGGGGACCCCCCGGTAACAATTCAACTACTACCCGCATTCATTACGCCTCCCAGGGTATCAAAAGCAAGCCTCCGGCTAATCAACAAATGAGCCCTCAGAACGGGGAAAGCCTTCGGCATCATCATTATTCTCCATTTTGAACCAAGGTTTCACATTTTCGATTCATCGTTGGGGGAATTCGGTGCACTCTTTTTCCCTCATTAGGATTTTTTCCCACAGGGTTTTTCCTAATGAGGTTTTTAACGAGGCATCCCCCCCAAAATGAAACGAAAAGCGTCAGCCTTCGGCCCACAACAGCAATGCAACTACTCTACTCCTTTTCACCACTTTGCAAGTGCCTCAAGGAGTGGGGGACTGGAGGACCCCCTCGGGAAAAATCACAAAAATCACAAACATGACCCCTCAAGTCTCGACATGTGGGTAACTGAGGGACTTCCCTCGACTGGGAACTTACAAACAGCAAACTACCCACAACTCTACAAACTACAAACGAAACAACGGCAGAGGACAAGCACAATTACTCCTTTTCCCTCAAGTACCTTTCGGCAAAAGGAGTGAGGGACTCCTGATGGAGTATATGGCCCGGGAACCCCCGGCCCACAGACTCCTACTACTCCAACAAAGGCCCAACAGGCCCAGAAAGCACAACAGGCCCAAATCACAGTGCCCAGAGTACCAAGCAGCCCACAATGCGCACCAGGGGTGCCCTCGGCCCCCTGGACGAAGGCTCTAACTCTCACAGGAGGACCAAGACAGGAAAACAAAGTTACTGGGAAAAACGGCGAAAATCAGTAGCCCTCGGCAGTGGGAGCCCTCGGCACTAAGGGGGTCCCCGGTACTCAGAGCCCTCGGCTAGTCATCTACTGCCGAGGGCGCCTCTTCCGACACAATATCCGCTCCACATGCGTACAGATCACCGTACCCTGTACAACGTCCCATCCAACAACCGCATTAAATGCGGCCACATGCAGTTGCTAGCGCCAACCAGTTGAGGTGACCCCTCGGCCAATGAACGCTTGACACGTGTCCCTGTCCGGCATTTATTGCTACTATAAATAGCACCCATTTCCCCATTTGTAACCACGCTGAAAACGCTGAACACTTTACAATATACTTTCTCTCTCTATATTTACTTGCTCTGACTTCTCTCTTATTATTCTCCGTAATAACCCCTCGGATAAGCTACCCCCGGGTACACTATCCATCACTAACAAACCTTACGGTTTTCATATCAATTAACATTTTGTAATTTACATATGCTCATTTGATATTGATGGTATGTTCATTTTAAAATATCATATCAATGTTTATAACAAAAATATCATATTACATTAAATTCACATATTGAAATTCATAGAATATTATAGATATCAATTAATAAGTTTTTATAAAAACAAAAATATGAAAAAGAAAACGAATTCAAAGATATGAAGCAAAGATTGTGATGCTCACTAAAAAATTACACTAATACTCATTTACTGGAAGTCGCAATTTTTCTCTTAAATTACAAAAATGCAACTAAGAAAAGTAGAACTTTATTAGTTAATAAATAGGCCGGAGGACTGTCTTGGGCTGGATGTATGCGGGGTGTGGGCATTTTAGACATTACGCTGTTACAACGACTCTTTTAGGGTATTTGCCGTTAGTGCCGACCTGTCGACAGATCGAGATTATCGTCGTCGTGACTATAAAACCCTAGAATTATATAGCAATTGCTACATCTCTCTCTGCGGTTTCTCTCAATCGGCAGATCTCTCTCTGTGATCGATCCTCCTCTCAGCGCTCGATCTTCGACGCTTTTGATCTCGTTTTATTGTGATCTAATTAATTTCTGCTATTTCTCATATTAACGCTCTAATCTTGTGTGTGTGTTTGTTTGCAGGGGACTTGTTAGTTTTATTCGAGCACATTTCATCTTCTCTATTCCTCATTTCTCTGTCATTTCTCTCTCGCTCTATATAAATCTTAATTGCAATTGTTGTAATATTTCTTAATTGTATATTTTTGTTATTATTAACCCAATGGTTGCAGGATTGATGAACTCTGCTTCTTCTATTAAGTCCCGGTCTCGATGCCCTCCTCTTCAGGAGCAGTATCCTCAAAGAAAAACTTCTCGAGAAAATGTATGTGTTGTTCTCGTTTCTCAATTGTAAAACTTTCGGTTTTACTGTAATAAAATTTTCAGATTGATTTTTATGGCGGAGCTTGTATATCTTGAGAAAACAGGGTTTAAAAGCAAATAGCAACTAACTGTATATCTCTGTTTTTTCTAAACAGCTCGACAGGTTCATCCCTAATAGATCTGCAATGGATTTTGACTATGCACACTTCATGGTGACGGAAGGGTTGAAAGGTAAGGGAAGTCCAGAACCGGCCAGCTCACCCTCCAGGGAGGCATATAGAAAGAAGTTAGCAGAGATCTTCAACATGAACAGGACACGGATTCTTGCTTTTAAGAACAAACCACATACCCCTGTGGATGGTGGCTTTCCGGATGAGTCCTGTTCTACTTCTTACCAAACCAAACCTATTAAACCCCGTCGGCACATTCCACAGGTAATCATTCCCCCCAATTTTTAGGTTCTGCTTTGAATCCGGGAAGTTGTAGATTGGCAGGGAAAACACACACGATTAAAACAGAGAAGAAACTAAAATTCGAAGGAAGACATTTTTAACTCAAAATATTATCAATTATAGATATTTTGAAATCACTGAATTTGGTATCTATACGTCATACACACTAAGAAAGAAATGAAATTAGTTTTTACTCTCTAACTTTTAGAGGAACAATAAATTTTGGTTTTAATTTATTTTATCCAGCTAAATAGCATTTTTGCTTAGTCTATCTCCTTCTTACCTACCATTTCCCTAGATATAAACATAGGCTAATACTTCCGTAGTTCCAGGCTATGACTTTATTAGTTATTTATTTGATGTTTTATGATGATCGGTTGCAGACGTCAGAGAGGACATTGGATGCTCCAGATATATTGGATGATTACTACTTGAATCTTTTAGATTGGGGAAGCAGCAATGTTGTCTCTGTTGCTCTAGGCAACACGGTTTACCTGTGGGATGCGGCTGATGGTAGCACTTCTGAACTTGTCACAATTGGTGATGATGTTGGTCCTGTTACAAGTGTGAAATGGGCCCCAGATGGAAGACACATTGCTCTTGGATTCAATAATTCTCATGTTCAGCTTTGGGATTCCACTTCTAACCGTTTGGTAAATAACCCTAAACCTTCCTTTTTGTCTTGATTCCTTTTTCTGAAATTCTAAAATCCAGTTTTGCTGAGATTGTTGTGTCCAATTGGAACTAGGAAATGGTAGTACTACCTCCTTCCAGTTTGAAGGTTTCCATTCTAGAATGAAACGTCTATGAAGCAAAATTTAAATAAAGTAATTTGAGAATTAGTTTGGGTGGGAATACAATATAATTAGGTAATTGATAATGGTGTTATTAAGAGTGTAATAAGTCATTTCTATTGTGGAATGAGAACCTTATATACTACTACGTAATTTTTGTGGCAATAGCTTTTTAGGCAAAATTTAAATAAAGTAATTTGAGAATTAGTTTGGGTGGGAATATAATAGAATTAGGTAATTGATAATGGTGTTATTAAGAGTGTAATAAGTCATTTTTATTGTGGAATGAGAATCTTATTACTACGTTTTTTTTTTTGGCAATAGCTTTTTATTTACTACTCCGTATTATAAAAGCAAAAAAGCCTACTTCTTTCCAGGTAGATTTGTAAATTAATTTCGAACTTCATCTTGCATGGTAAATACTTTTTTCAACTTCATCATCAAATGTAAATACTTTCTTGCTCTATTTTTATTTTGAGTTCTATATTCTGGAATGAAATTGTTTTTATAATTGTTTCCTGAAATTGAGAAAAATCCTAAATGTTTGAGACGTGGCCAGATCGAGTTTAGTTTGGATTTCGGTAATCGAGGAAAATTGGTTTGAGAGCAATTGCTTGAGTGAGTTTACTGGTCTGGTTTTCAGTAATGAGAAAATGGCTTGAATGAGTTTTCATGGTTTAAACATATTCAATATTCCATTTCTTTGTCCCATATTCAAAATTGGTTCGAGAACAATTGCTTGAGTGAGATTACTGGTCTGGTTTTCAGTAATGAGAAAATGGCTTGAATGAGTGTGCATGGTTTAAACATATTCAATATTCCATTTCTTTGTCCCATTTATACTCTAAATTATTCTTTTTATTCCCATCTTTTTTATCATAATAAACAAAAAATGGTATTAAAAAAATGGTATTCCCAAGATTTTTTCATAAACAAATTTTAGTAATGTTTTTATAAAAGAAAAATTCTGTGATGTTAATGAACAATAATTATTGTTCATTTCTTTGTCCCATTTATACTCTAAATTATTCTTTTTATTCCCATCTTTTTTATCATAATAAACAAAAAATGGTATTAAAAATGGTATTCCCAAGATTTTTTCATAAACAAATTTTAGTAATGTTTTTATAAAAGAAATTCTGTGATGTTAATGAACAATAATTGAGAGTTGAGAATGAAAATTCATACGGAGTACAAATTAGGGTAAAATGGTCCAAATACCTCTTACTACTTTAAATTTATCTTCTTTAAGCCCCCCATACTAAAAAAATTTATCATATAAACACGCTTACTTTAAAAAAGAAATCAATTCATATTTTTAAAAATTATACTCTGTATGATTTTTCAAAAATATATTTAAATACACGCTTACTTTAAAAACACGCTTATCAATTTACTTAAAATATATTTTTCAAAAATGATCTCTTTATTAGCACCTCATTTCTGAATTTAAACTTGCATATATGATTTGTTTTTAATATAGGGCTTAAGTGATGAATATAGACTAAATATAGAAACCTACATAGAACCCTAGATAGACAAAAACTTAATAACACTTCTTGGCGAAACCTAAAATATGTGGAAAAGGTATACGATAGTATTTTTTATAAATGGACTTTGATTTTCTTTCTTATTGGCCAGTTTAGTATCAAACATAGTAAACCAGTCAAGGGTGGGTGCAATTGCAGGTAGACTTAATATAGAAACCTACATAGAACCCTAGATAGACAAAAACTTAATAACACTTCTTTCATATTTATTTACCAAGACTGATGGTAAAATAATATTATATGATCACAATTGCAGGTAAGGACTTTGAGAGACGGGCACCAGTCAAGGGTGGGTGCACTGGATTGGAACAACCACATTTTGACCACAGGTGGAATGGACGGTCTGATCATCAACAATGACGTCAGAGTGAGATCACCCATCGTCGAGACATACAGAGGGCACAGCCATGAGGTGTGCGGCTTAAAATGGTCAGCCTCTGGGCAACAATTGGCAAGCGGGGGAAACGATAACCTTGTACACATATGGGACCGATCATTGACCTCGTCGTCATCATCGTCCTCCGCTGGAGGATTGCTGCACAGATTTGATGAGCACACGGCTGCGGTTAAGGCGCTGGCCTGGTGCCCATTCCAGAGGAACCTGTTGGCATCAGGCGGTGGCGGGGGTGACAGGTGTATAAAGCTGTGGAACACACAAACGGGTTCATGTGTGAACTCAGTTGACACAGGGTCGCAGGTGTGCGCACTCTTGTGGAACAAGAACGAGCGGGAGTTGCTGAGTGCCCACGGGTTCACCCAGAACCAGCTGACTCTATGGAAATACCCATCAATGGTGAAGATGGCTGAGCTGAGGGGACACACTTCGAGGGTTCTTTACATGGCTCAGAGTCCAGATGGTTGCACGGTTGCATCTGCGGCTGGGGATGAAACGCTGAGGTTTTGGAATGTGTTTGGAACTCCGGAAGTTGCTGCTGCCAAACAGGTTCGCAAGTCTATTCCTGAGCCATTCTCTCATGTCACCAGAATTCGCTAAATGGATCCCCCAATAAATTGTTGATAGGTGATCCGTCTCCTGAGATAGTTTGTAAATTCTTTTAGAATCATTCCATTGTCAATAATACTATAATATTTTTCATCCACTTGCTAGTGGGTATTTTCTAAATGGAAGGAAGGGTCTTTTAGGACTTGCATTTACAGATTTACTTACGACTTGGTATTTTGTTGTCCTATATAGTTTGGCTAACTTGCAGAGGAAATGACGAAAACACGGGAAGTTTTTGTCTAATATTCAAAAACACGGGACTGAAAAAGTAAATACAAATAATAGAAGTCGGAAAAGCCATTTCCTACTGGGGTGATTATAAAAATTCCAAAACAGCAATTTCTGATTGATTTTTAAAAAAAGGTGTGGGCATCAACTTTAGTTGCTATACTATGAATATTGTACAACGCACTCTAATAAAACTGACGATAAATATTGGTTTTTATGTATTAAAATATTGGTTTTAATATGGAAATTGTTTTTAGTTTAATAAATACTTGCACGTAACGTATTGAAATAGTGGTTTTAATATTACGTTATCATATATTATATATTATTTTAATAATTAGTGGTTTTAAAATGTTTTAATTTGGAAATTAATAGTTAAATGAAAAGTTGTTATTTAAAATAAATTAATTTGGAAATGTTGGGACTCTTGGAGCTCGTTTGGTGGAATATTTTTTTAAAATACGGGAACTGCCAACACTCGAGGCAAAAAAACGAGGCTTTTTAGAGCATTTCTAGGATCACCGGGGCAGGTGGCCCGGCTTGAACCGGAACCGTCCTTACCTCGGGCCGGTCCCGGGCCCATCACTTACAATCCGGAGGTCCGGCCTAGCCCGAGTCCATGACTAGGATCACGTAATTCGGAAATGCCAATTCATATCATACACCCGGTTATTTTGTAATTAGTAGGAAGTTTGAGGATAATTAATAGGTTTAACTGGTTCCTTTTTCCTTTGCGCCGCTGCTCCACTCATGTCTTTGTTTTTGTACGTGCTCGGTGCTCCTCAACCGCTTCTCTTTTTTTGGTTTTTTTTGTTTGTTCTCCTTTCTTTTTTTGTTCTTTTAGTAACCTTCTACTTTAATGTTTTATTCAATTATTATGAAAATGTATAATATAAAATATTAATAAATGTTTCAGTTGATTTTTTAACTTTATGTAGGAGTTGATTGCATGTTTTTGATACTCAATACAGGAAGTTTGATATGCTCAATAAAAATGTCTTAAAGTTCAACAAAAAAACTTATAATTTTTATATCAATACTGATTTTGTAAGTTATGTTTGTTCAATTTGTACTCATATTATGCTCATTTCAAAATATCATATTCATACAAATTTTAAAGAGAATATTACCCGAAATAAGACTAAAAAAGTTTGAAAATTCCAAAACAGGATTGCCATGTTTTTATTCCCAAAATAGGACTAATTATTGCAATATTTTGGCAGTACCAGATTTCAAACATGACAGTATTTTCTAAACTTGGCAGTAATTACTCCTATTTTGGGAATAAAAAATATGACAGTCCTATTTTGGAATTTTCAAACCGTTTTAGTCATATTTCGGGAACTTTCCCAATTTTAAAAGTTGCATATGACATTAGATTCACATTGTTTGGTTCTTAATACTTGATGGAATAAGTTCGATGCTCATTCAAAGTATTTTAATGCTCATAATAGGTCTGATGCACATTAAAAGTTCATTAATCCTCATTTAACAGAAACTGTGATTTTCATCTTAACAGAGGAGGTTTGATGCTCAATGAAAATGTCGCTATGTCAAACTAACAAACCTTACGGTTTTAATATCAATGAAAATTTGGTAAGTTTCGTATGCTCATCTGGTAGTGATCTTATGCCCATTTTCTAAATGTCATATTAATGCATTTTTTAAAGTACTATTTTACATTAGATTCACATATTGAAATTCATAAGAGTTGATTATAAATATAGTTTAATAAATTTTTATAAAAGAAAAAATAACAAAAAGAAAGTGAATTAAAAGTTATGAAACAGAGATCACGATTCTGAATATTAGACTATTATATTAATACTCAAAATAATAGGTCTAATGCTCATTAAAAGGTCAGCAAATTCAGTCGAGAAGTGAGAGAAGTGAGAGCTAGAGAGAGAATGAACATGCAATTAATATTTCTCAACCCCCTAAAATTACACACAAGGGGAGTATTTATAGGGAAAATATGGGGTTGGGCTCTCAAGTCTTGGGCTTGGGAGGTCCGGTACAAAATAAAGCCTCTATTGGGCTGGATACATGATTTATTTGGCTAAATATAAGATCTAGCTCTGCTTTGGTTTCTTTGGTTGACGGAAGACCAGGCCGACGGAGGACCATGTTCTGCTCCTGGGCTTCTGGACCATATTTTGAGTTGATAGATGTTTGACAGACGGAGGACCATTTGGCCGATGGAGGACCTGCCCGTTGTGCTTGTGTTTATCTTCTGAGTATGTGGACCATGGGTTCTGGACCCATATACTCTATCACCAAGCGTGCTCTTATTGTTATTATTTTAATAAATAGTACTACCTTCGTCCCGTTGAAAGATTCTCATGACAAAACGATATGATCATTTAGAAAATAATTAAATAAGGTAATTCGAGTATATTATGAAATTATAGAAATAAAATTATAAAGCAATAAAGTACTGATTCATAGGAAATTATATAGAAAAATTTCCACTTTTATTACTTTTAAAAATGTGATGGACAAAAATATTAATGATTAACTATTAGTGATATAGTTGTATTCAAATTCAAATCTTAGTAATTACATGTAAGTTACAAATAGTTATTAAAAATAATATTTTTGTTCATGACTTGTTAGAACATATTTTATTGTGTTCAATTTAATTAGATTTATCTTTGCCGATTAGATTTAATTAGTGAGCTATTAAATCAATTAGGGAACATTTAATTAGACTCATTCGACCCATCCTAATGTAATTAGATGTTTGGCCATACTCCTATAATTATAGGATGTATAGACCGAACATATCCAAGAGTTTCACAATTAGAATAACCACATCATTATTAGAAGCTCCCATGTTAGATTAGAGAGAAAAAGTCTCTATACAATTTATTCCACATCTATTATTCTCGTAGAGCACCTATATAATTTTTTCAACAGTTTATCCGTGTAATATGCATTATTGCTACATCATTCTGAGTATTGAATGTTGATGATATTCTTATAGTGTTCAATTTCTTCATATTATTGTTTACTAGTTAATCGACTGTTGATCTGGGATCGCTCAAACATGACTTTTTATTAGTAATATAATATTTAAGAAAACCCCCAATTATATACTACGTAGGCCCCGATTGTCCATTTTCTTTTTTAAAATATAAAAATAAGTACATTTTAAAATATAAGTAATACTTGGATGTTATTAATATAAAAAATAAAGAATATAAAGTAAATAGGCCGATGATTAAAAAACAAGGGCTTTTTACAAAAACATTACTAAAATAAAACTTATTTACATAAATATGACTATTAGTTACTACAATGTAGTGTCATAGTAACTTAAGTTTAAAAATTGAACATAACTTACTGTGATTTCATTACTATAGTCATTAATCACATTTTTGTAAGAATTAATTCCACTTTAGGTCCTTCGAGTTTTGTGTCATTTCCATTTTTAGTCCTCGTCTTTCACTTTATCCATTTTTTGTACCTGACTATTGTTTTCTTGACCATTTGTGGTCCATTTCTGAGCATTTTTACTATCGGAAAAGGACTATATATGGTCAAGAAAACAATAGTCAGGTACCAAAAATGGATAAAATGAAAGACGAGGACTAATTGTGGAATTGGTTCAAAACTCGAAGGACCATAAGTGGAATTTCTTCTTTTTGTAAACCGTCTTTATTTTAGTCATAAATATGTAATTATTTCAAAAAATAAAAGAGTGATATAAAAAACACAGTGAGTTGGAATGTGCAATTCCCACTGAGTGATTACAAATAAAAAAAAACTAATTGGAATGTTCAATTCCAACTGCATGCTTTTAAGGTGTACCCCATCAACCCTAATTCTAGTTGGAATGTGCAATTCCGACTCTCGTTATTCCAGAAAACAAAAGCCATTTGGCGGTCCATGTTAGAAAAGTCTGTGTTTTAAGAAAGCAACCTAAAATACAGAGTACTACACAACTTCAATATGATCTTTTTGACCCGAGTCATGGTATTTAGGGGTGGATCGGGGCCAAATTGGCCGAGTCCATCACTCTTGACATTTCCTACTTCTAAACCCCTCATCTTCTTCCATGCTACCACTACTAGAATTTTCGTCATTTGCTGCACCCTATTTGCTGCTGTTAAACACGAACCGCAGCAAATAACTTGAAAATTATTGCGGTCATAAAGGACCCGCAGCAGCAAAAAAGTGACGTTATTTGTTGTTGTCGTTGCCCAACTGCAGCAATTGTATATTTACTATTACGTGCGAGACCTGATCGTTATGCGTACGAGGGCCACAGATCAGATACGCCATTAGCTACTTTGCGCAGCAGCAGTTCCGCCGGCCTCCTCCATCAGCTACCTCACTCCAATCGCAAGCCACCGCCATCTCCGTCGATCAGTAGCCTCCGCCTCCTCCAACAGTTTGCCGCCTCATCCAGCCGCCACCGTCACATTTCTGAAAAGTTTTATCCCTCTAGAAAAGTTCTATTGTCACTTAGTAGAGATTGTAAATGGCTGCACTCGGTGATAGCATCCCGATCTAGCAATGATCCCATTGATGTTACACTAGATGCCTCTATGTTCCATTATGAATTTGATGATGGTCATGTGTATCTTACTATGGAGGACATCACTCAATTTCTGTCCGGTGCAATGCTTAATATTTCCATCATTCAAGTATCTGTGATGTATGATCTTGAAACTGTATGACTAATTACTAGAGTATTTAATTTATGTTAGAATTTGAACTCTTTTTTTTTACAAAGCCATGTAGGATTATCTACAGGGTTTGGATACCCATGCACAACTTGGATGGATGTGTCCTGATTCAATTTGTGCAATTGCATGTGAAAATAACCCTGAAGATGTGAAAGATTACATACACCGAGCCATCACTGAATCTCAGAATGCCGACGTAGATATTCTTGTTGCTCCTTATTATGAAAAGTATTCATTTCTATCTATTTTATTAAGTTGATTTATTATATTTATAATATCAATGATATACCAATTTGATTTTGTAGCTATAACACAATGTACGTCACTAATTAATCGTGCAATTATCATTGAGTGTTGCTTGCGATTTGGATCTCACGCGGCATGATCTTTATGTATGATTCTCTTCGAACCAGTCCGATGTGTCGTTTATTAATCATGTCATTGTGCAGTAGGTAATTTTATAGTATCTTTTCACATCATGAGAATTGTTATTGTATTATCTTATAATTTTGAAACTATGTGGTTCTAACTTTGAATGTTTCGTAATAGTGTTTTTAGAAATATTTGCGCGAATGGTGAAAAGGTGAAAAAGATTACTTGGAAACAGATGAAGGTATAAGTATACAGTATACACATACTTTCGCTAAATATTTTATTAAAAATTTTAATTCTTTTAAGTTGGTAGTGAACATTATGAATACACAAATATGTTATGTGTATTATTTGACATTTCAGTGCGCAAAACAAATGAGCGGCTTGGAATGTGGATTTTATGTAATGAAATTCATGTATAATGTGGTTAGAAGCATCAATGAAGGCCAAGATCCGGAGCAGGTATATTTAAATAAAAAGTAGACTTAGTTAATTTTAGGGGTGCCAAAAGGGTCAATTTCTACATCTCTCTATCTAAAGTTGAACTAAATCCATTAGGGCTATCCGTTTTAAATTTTAAAATAGTGGACTGATCGATGAACGTATTGACTGCCCCCATCCATTAACGATTTATTTAACTGCTTCTTACTGTTGGTCGAAAATAGGACGCTCGTAGGCTTTTAGGAAAGCTACGTAAGAACACTCAAGCATGAATCAACAAAATAATACGAATAAGGAATGTTGCTAAGGAAAGTTTAGTTGCTGAGAATAGCTTATAGAATTCGTCCCCCTAATATGAATTACAAACCGTCTTTTATAGACGTATACAAATCGTAATCGCTACCGATAATAATGACTAATTAATTACAACATTAATACAGAATTAAATACGTAATTAATAGCGCATTAATTGCTTGACCGTTACTCTTCTAGGCTGGGTGGTCGGCCGGACTGGAAGGCTCCCCACTGGGCTGGTAGGCAGCCTCCAGGTTGTGGACTTGGATCCACGGGTCCAAGTTAGGGGCTTGGACTGATTAGGCTCTGGGCCTAGTCTCATAACTCCATCACGAGTCCCCCACTCCCTTAGTCGAGTAGTAGACTCAGCTAAGAGGGAGTAGTCCAAGTCAGTTGCTCTTCTCCGAGACTAGAAGATCCCCGCCCTTGTCCATGTTAGGGAGATGCCTCATTAAAAACCTTCATTAGGAAAAAACCTGATGGGAAAAAAATCTAATGAAGGGGAAAAGAGTACACCTGACGCCCCCAAGATGAAGCAAGAGGTGAGATCCTCACCCTTTATTGCAATGGTCGCCATCTGCGAATAGGAAGGCTAGTGTGGATCGTTGCGCTTACCGCTACACTAAAAGCAATCGCTGATAGTGAAGCACGCTCCTCCCCCTTTATAGCACAAGCGAAGCGCCACGCGGTCCGATTGCACCGACAGGCTGGCTGTTGCTGGCACCGCATACCCGCGGCCCAACAATCTCCCCCCCAGCACCTGCCAGCCTACAACTGCGCAGCATGCTGTTGCCGGGGGTCGAACCCGTGACCTTGGCTCTGATACCACTTGTGGATCGTTGCGCTTACCGCTACACTAAAAGCAATCGCTGATAGTGAAGCACGCTCCTCCCCCTTTATAGCACAAGCGAAGCGCCACGCGATCCGATTGCACCGACAGGCTGGCTGTTGCTGGCACCGCATACCCGCGGCCCAACAGCTAGAATTGTTCTTCTCATCAGGCTCAGACTCGTAAGGTTTATCATTTGCTTCCTTGAAGACGGTAAGACCCTCAGTCCCCCACTTCATTCGGTTGTACCTGCACATAAAAGAAACTAGTGTAGAATAGAGCATCTGGTCTGGTGTGGAACCACAACTCAGTGTGTAAGTGAGTCAGACTCACTACTTGAAAAGAGTGACATAAAGTTCCCAAGTTAGGCCTTAACCCATTCTCCGAAAGAAAGATTGAATCCGCGAGTAAGTGAGTCGGACTCCTCACTCGAATGGATAATCTAACCCCAAAGAACTAAGGTATATCAACCTTTTCAAGAAATGTGAATGTCAATTAAGTGACAAAATTGCTCGGAAGAGCGTGGCTCTAGGCCCCTAACAAGAGTTTAACTCGCCGCCCGAGGTTAGTAGTTCGAACCCGCAAGTAAAAACTTATGAACGGGTGACTCGTCCCTCGAGGTCGGAGTGTGATGCACTATGAAGGTGTAAGAGCACACGAGAACTCATATGAAGTCAAGCGTGTGCGGTATTAACATTTATATTGGAGCTTATTAATCGTCACACCCATATGACGTGACCCGGTTGCACGAGTGTTTGTGCTCGGCCAGTGTACGAGTGTGTGCTCATCCGACGTACTTGAATGATTAGATTTCACAAGTCCGTTGTTCAATGTTAAAATTACACACACTTAACAAGAGTAAAAGCAATCATATCACTTAAAATATCTGTCAAATGTTTCAATTTATGATATTTTAATCATATATTTTTTGTTTTGATGTAACAAATATAGAGGATTTTTGGACACTTAGCTTTTTTGGGGCAATCATGATTGCTGGACCTGAAAAGAAGCTTTGAGGTGTGACCTTCAAGTTTGATATCGGCCCATGGGGAGTGTAGGTGGCCTTATCCCTCAGATTTGCTTGGGTTATGGCCTGCTCCAAAATTACAATAGGCCTAAATGATAGAGACAGCTCCCAGCGTAAGGTGTAAATCGTTGGAAGACCTGGCTGAAGATTCATCGCCAATGAGTTCTCCAGGCAGAAGGGTGCAGGTCTCTTGACAGTAGAATACTAGCAGGTCCGCAAATTGCTTGGTGTCTCGGCCGTTCCCGTCGTCCCTACGTGAGATAGCTGTGACCGTCAAGCTACGATGGCCATGCATGGTGGCGGGATATGGAGCAGTGGATCTGGATTGCGGTCCTTTAGCGTCGGTGGTGAGATCCAGGGCAGCGGTAGCCGCTTCCGTACTTGGCAGCGGCCAGGATGACGACGACAGTGCGGGTTCAGTAATGTTTCAAATCTGAACCTTCCGGGGCAACGACGACGAGCTTCATCTCACGGCGCCTGGTGGCAACTCCGCGGCGGAGAGATCCGAGAGCGGGTAGGTGAGCCCCAGTGAAATACTTCTCTGGGCTGTAGGGCACTGCTCGGTGGTGGCCAACACCGACATCTCCGGGCTGTAGCGCACTGACCGGTTTTTGGATTTGCCGAACTGTTTTGATGTATTTCTATGTTTGTGATGAATTTCTGTATTTTTTGGGATGAATCTCACCAGATTTTGTTCAAAACGTGTATTTTTCTTGATTCTTGCTAGAGTGATGTGAGAGACAGTAGAGACTCTCAATGAAAGCACCATTGTTCGTCCAAAATAGGACGCTCGTAGGCTTTTAAGAATGCTACGTAAGAACACTCAAGCATGAATCAAGAAAATAATACAAATAAGGAATGTTGTTAAGGGAAGTTTAGTTTCCGTGAATAGCTTATAGAATTCGTCCCCCTAATATGTATTACAAGCCGCCTTTTATAGACGTATACAAATCGTAACCGCTATCGATAATAATGACTAATTAATTACAACATTAATACAAAATTAAATACGTAATTTATAGCGCATTAATTGCTTGACTGTTACTCTTCCGAGCTGGGTGGTCAGCCGGACTGGCAGACTCCCCACTGGGCTGACAGACAGCCTCCAGGTTGTGGACTTGGATCCACGGATCCAAGTTCGGGGCTTGGGCTGATTAGGCTCTGGGCCTAGTCTCATAACTCCATCACTTACTATATTTGCTAAGTATCAATATGTGAATGACTACATACACATTGAGAAGACAAAAAGAATATTGTATTAATTATAGTTGCTTAATATTTGTAGGTGTACACAAGCACCTTAAGGGATGAGGCATTTTCAAAGGTAGAAATCGATGAGATCCGGGATAGATGAGCGATATTTGTTTGTGATAATTTGTTGTAAACAATATATTGTGTGAAGAATGCATTAACATTATCATTTTTGTTGTATTGAATGTGGATCATGTTTTTGTTATATTGAATGCGGATTATGTTTTTGTTGTATTGAATGCGGATTATGTTTTTGTTGTATTTAAAGTGGATCATGTTTTTGTTGTTTTGGATTCTTAGTTTAGTTATAAATACAATTTTTGTGTGAAGGTGTGTGTTTGGTGAATCTGAAAATTTGTCAATTTAGAAAAAATATTGTGTAAATGTCTGGAATTTAAATTTGAATTAAACACTTATTGCTGCGGTTGTGGAGGAACCGCAACAATAAGTAAATACTTATTGCTGCGGTCGTAGAGGAACCACAACAATAAGTGGTTATACAAAAAAATCGACACTTATTTGCTGCGGGTGTGACCGCAGCAAATAGCAATATCGCACTTTTGCTGCTCCGGCTATTGTTGCGGTTCATAATCGCAGCAAATACGTCAAAATAACCGCAACAATTAATGATTTTTTCTAGTAGTGTACTTTGGATATGAGTATTTCTAATAGAAAACTTTTCATCCTTGTTTCGCTATATATCAAAAAGGTTGAGTACTTGAGTGTGGTTCGAACATAAATGTTTAAGATCATTACCATAACATATCAAGTGATAGATCATATTATTCACAAACCCTTTGACGGTGAGGATGCTGTTTCAACCTATGTTGTAAAAACCAGACCAGAGAGTGATCTGGAGGGATAACTGGGTCACGGGTCAACCCGGACCTGACGGGTTAGCCCGGTCAACGACTGAAAAACCCGGTCAACAACCTATCCCGAAAACTCGTGGTGCATGATGTTTGCCGAAGATATTCTATTGATTGATGATACACAATCAGGCCTTAAAGCAAAGTTGGAAGTATGCCGACAAACATTGGAGAACAAGAGTTTCAGACTAAGTCGAAGCAAGACAAAGTACATGGAGTGCAAGTTTGGTGGAGGAAGAAGCAGTGGTAATAGCGGAATTACTCTAGATGGTAAGGAGATACCAGTCAACGATATGTTCCGTTACTTAGACTCCATACTTCAGAAGGACAGTGAGTTAGATGGAGATGTATCCCATAGAATCAGAACAAGGGGGATAAAGTGGAAGAGTACGTCAGAATTTCTATGCGATCGAGGTATGCCGATTAGACTGAAGGGTAAATTTTATAGGACAACAATTAGGCCTGCATTACTGTATGACATAGAGTGTTGGGCGGTGAAATAATGTCACATTCAAAAGATGAGCGTGACAGAGATGCGCATGCTGCGTTGGATGTGTAGACATACTAGGAAGGGCCGCGTGAGGAATGAGACAATCAGACAAAGGGTGGGAGTAACACCTATTGAAGACAAGATGCGGGAGTCGTGCTTACGGTGGTTTGGTCATGTGCGTAGAAGACCGAGTGATGCACTTGTTAGACGAGTTGAGATGTGTGGAGAAGAGGCAGGGAAGAGAGAGAGGAAGGCCCAAACAGACGTGTGTTAGGGAAGTCCGAAGTGATATGATTATTCTTGGGTTGGATGAAGATATGACTTTGGAGAGAGCAAAGTAGAAGACGAATATTCGTGTGGAGGAGTGATCTTGTATCATCTTTTTCCCTTTTTTATCCTTATATATAAACATTATTCGTATCCTTTTTATTTTATCATTTTTATGTATATTTATCTCTTTTTATATTATCTTTTATAATAACTTATCTTTTTTATCTTTATTTTCTTATTTTCCTTTTGGTGGTGATATCATGTATCGATTCATGTTAGCCGACCCCAATATTTTTTGGGAGTAAGATTTAGATATTGTTATTGTTGTATCCTATTTTGCTTGTGTACACATGTAATTCTTCTAAAAAAGATAGAAATGTTTAATTACATAGACAAGTTGAACGTGTAAATGAGTGTGTCAAAACGCGTGTACCAAGTAACGGTCCAAATAAATTACATAAATTTAGTTGAATATGGAGGGTCCAATTATGTTTTAAGTTATGAGGCCTATCTTAACCCCAAGCCCACATATGAGCTGAAGCCCAAACTCTAATTCTTCTTACAATTACTAAACCCTAGAAAGCCTATTTCTGGCTTTGGGTTTTCGTTTCCACGCCCTGCTGCTCCTATTCAAGTTCTTCCACCTCTAGAGCCATATCTATTCTTTGCTGCTTCAACTTACTTCTTTTATAACCAAAGGGCAATTTTTTTTTATTATTCGGCTGTAAAACCCACGTTACTCGCAGTCACAGTCCGCATCTTTCCAACCCCCAAAGGCCAAATTGCAATTTCCAAGCAATTTCCAAGTGTTTTGGTTTCTGGCTTTCTGCTCTAATTGGTCTTGCGGGGTAAACTGAGAGGCGTGAGAGCTGCTTTTTGGTGGTAAGCGGAGGCCTGGGATTCTGAGAACTGCCTAGGCCTGGGATTCTGAGAACTGCTGGTCACGGCTAAGTGGCTAAGAGGTAAGTTTTCAACTCGTTTAGTTTTATTGTACTTTTAATTCAATTTAATTAAAGATTAAATTACAGCTTGCTAATTATGAATTTGATTATTATTTGTAAACTTGCTTATTATGAATTTGATTATTATTTGTAAACTTGTAATCAACATTTATAAAATTATAGTAGTATGAATTTGATTGTGATTTGTTATTGTTAATATATTATGAAGTTAATTATTATTAATGTATTAATTAGTCATCGTGTTATTTTCAATAAAGGTAATTAAGAGATATTGAGATATTATGAGTTATGACCCCGTTGAAGTAGGAGTTGGACTTGGTGATCTTGCCGAGAAGTTGATAGAAACTAAGAAGCATAAGGTGTTTCTTTTAGTTTACAAGTTGTTGACATTGACATTGATTCTTCCCGTTTCAATCGCTACTGTTGAAAGTGTATCTTCAACAATGAATATCCTAAAGGATAGGTTGAACAACCGGATGAGTGATGACTGGCTCAATGATGGACTTATTGTTTATGTAGAAACGACATCTTCTTAAAAATCGACAATGATGTTAGTATCAAACGATACCAATCGCGGAAAACACGTAAAGAACAGTTGTAAATTTGTGATGTTTTTGTACTTGATTTTGATGAAAACTCTTATTCCTATAATGTTTATTTTTGTCTTTGATTTGATGTTACAATAGATTTTTTTTATTTTAATTTTGGCCCACCCTCAATGTGAAAGCTAGATCCGCCCCTGCGTGTACACCCAAAACGTGTATACCAAGAAACGGTCCAAATAAATTTCATAAGTTTAGTTGAATATGGAGGGCCCCATTATTTTTTAAGTTATGAGGCCTATCTTAACAGTAAGCCCACATATGGGCTGAAGCCCAAACTCTAATTCTTCTTACAATCTCTAAGCCCTAGAAAGCATTACATGATTTCGAGGAGTATAGTCTACTCTCTTTCTCACTTTCGCTTTGACTTTGGGTTTCGTTTCCACGCCCGACGGTTGCTCCTATTCAGGCTCTTCCACCTCTAGAGCCATATCTATTCTTTGCTGCTTCAACTCACTTCTTTTATAAGCAATTGTCTTTTATTATTCGGCTGTAAATATCAGTTTTTTTAGTAAATCTGTTTTTGTTTTTTATTATTCGGCTGTAAAGAGCATTTTTTCAGTGATTCTGTTTTTGTTTTCATTTTCTAAGTGAAAACAGTAGGAACTAAATAAATTAGAATGTCGATTTCTAACTTGCAATATAGGCTATTACCGAAAGATTTTATTTTGAATTATTACTAGGTCTGAAATTTTCCACTTTTTTCTTTCATGAAATCGGTAGGCTTTGGATATTTTACCGTTCTGTTTAATTTCAATCTTTCTGTTTGATGCTTGAGCTCAGTAGTTGCACTTGGTGGAAACTCGGTCCAGGGCCGAGTAGGCAAGTAGCTATTAGGTTACTCTGGATTACTCGGCTATGTTTTAATAAAAGTATAATATTATTGTCACCAAAGACTAGTAATATGTGAGTCTTAAAATCATTATATACCCAACACGCTCGCACACACACACACATGTACAGCAACAAATAATCCATAACAAATGATGTCTAAAAAGTAAAAAAAGACTAAAAGCAAAAAGAATATGAACAAGTATCAAATTATCAATAATAAAAAGGGACATGAAGAAGAACTCACTAAGAGAGTCATGCCATTTAAATAGTCTGTAAAATAATCTGTCTGCGCATATTTGTCATGGAGCAGCCGTTAATCCATGCAATTTTCGATGCGATTTTCATCATGAGTCATCTGGAAACAGACTCCCTGTGCTTTAGTACAGGGGTAAGGGTGCGTACATCTAACCCTCCTTACCCCACTGTAGGTGGTAGTCTTTGCGGCAATGGAGTAATGTTGTTGTTGTTGTAGAATTCAATTTTAGCAGACCTAGTTAGTCAGCGTGTAATATGAAACAAAGAGTTGCAGAAGTCATTTAGTACTCCGTGATTAGCTCAGAATCTTGGAATGAACTAAGTCATTAACCCTGAGTAGCAATTACTCGCTGAATAGATAACTTAGTTTTTGAGTTGCTCATTTTTTGTGATGTTCTGGTGCAGGGATAAAAGATGGTGCAGTATAATTTCAAAAAGATTACCATTGTCCCCAATGGGAAAGACTTTGTTGACATCATCCTCTCCCGTACACAAAGGCAGACTCCAACTGTTGTTCACAAGGGCTATGCAATATCTCGTATCCGTCAGTTTTACATGCGCAAAGTGAAATATACACAGTCAAACTTCCATGACAAACTCTCCACTATTATTGAGGAGTTCCCCAGGCTTGATGATATCCATCCTTTCTACGGTGACCTCCTCCATGTCCTTTATAACAAAGACCATTACAAGCTTGCACTTGGCCAAATAAATACAGCAAGGAACTTAATTTCCAAGATCGCAAAGGATTACGTCAAAATGTTGAAGTATGGTGATTCTCTCTACCGATGCAAGTCTTTGAAGATTGCTGCCCTGGGACGAATGTGTACCGTGATAAAGCGAATCACACCCAGTCTGGCATATCTTGAGCAAATTAGACAGCACATGGCTAGGTTGCCTTCGATCGATCCAAACACTAGGACACTTTTGATTTGTGGGTACCCTAATGTCGGTAAGAGCTCTTTCATAAACAAAATTACAAGAGCAGATGTTGACGTGCAGCCTTATGCGTTCACCACAAAGTCCTTGTTTGTGGGTCACACTGACTACAAATACCTTAGGTATCAAGTCATCGACACTCCGGGAATATTGGACAGACCATTTGAGGATCGCAATATCATAGAGATGTGCAGCATTACAGCTTTAGCCCATCTTAGAGCTGCGGTTTTATTTTTCCTAGATATATCAGGATCTTGTGGTTATAGTATTGAACAGCAATCTGCTTTGTTCCACAGTATAAAGTCTCTCTTTATGAACAAACCCTTGGTCATAGTTTGTAACAAAACTGATTTGCAGCCTTTGGATGGGATATCAGAGGAAGACAAGAAGTTAGTCATGCAGATGAAAGAAGAAGCTATGAAGACTGTCATTGGACAAGGTGGGGAGGCCACAGACGACCAAGGTGTGCTTTTGACTATGAGTGCTTTAACTGAAGAAGGTGTGATTTCCGTGAAGAATGCTGCTTGTGAGAGGCTGTTGAACCAAAGAGTTGAAGTCAAGATGAAGTCTAAGAAGCTAAATGACTGCTTAAACCGTTTTCACGTCGCCATGCCCAAACCACGTGACCAGAAAGAAAGGCCTGTGTGCATACCTCAGGCAGTGCTGGAAGCGAGAGCAAAGAAAGCAGTGGAAGTTGCAGAGAAAGAGAAGAAGAAGCTTGAGAGGGATCTTGAGAATGAGAATGGAGGTGCAGGTGTCTACTCTGCCAAGTTGAGTAAGCACTATATCCTGGCGGATGATTCTTGGAAAGATGATGTCATGCCAGAGATTCTCGACGGGCACAATGTGTTTGACTTCATCGATCCTGACATCTTGCAACGGCTCGAGGAGTTGGAGAAAGAAGAAGGGCTTCGGCAAGAACAAGGAGATGAAGGTGGCATGGAGATGGAAGGTGGGCTGGAGCTGACATCTGAAGAAAAAGCCACCTTGGCTGAGATCAGGAAAAGGAAGAGTGTGCTGATCCAACAGCACCGTATTAAGAAAAGTACGGCCGAAAGCCGACCAACCGTTCCAAGGAAGTTCGATAAGGATAAAACGTATACGTCAGAGAGGATGGGCAGGCAGTTGTCTGGTCTGGGACTCGATCCAACCCTTGCGGTCAACCGTGCACGCAGTAAGTCAAGGGGGCGTAAGAGGGAACGATCTGTATCTGGCATGGGCGACTCGATGGATGTTGATGGTGATGAGGAGACTCCTAACAAGAAGAAGTTGAAGTTGATGCTGTCTAGGTCCAGGTCAAGGTCAAAGTCAAGGCTTCCAAATGAATTGGTGCCTGGTGAAGGATTCAAAGACTCTGCACAAAAGTCTAAGGCTATTGATTTGGCTAGGAACTCTTTCAAGGTGCGGAACAAGGCAGCCTGCAAGGGTGAAGGTGATAGAACTATTCCTAATCTGAAACCAAAGCACTTGTTTTCTGGCAAGCGTTCTAACGGAAAAACACAAAGGCGTTAAGGTATGTTACAGTTTTTCATATATCCTTGTCATGTTCAAGTATGTGTAATCTCAATCATTTGAGTCTTTATTGTAGTGTCTTCCTGGTCGTAAATAGACACTACTAAATTATACTCCGTATAACTGACATAGTCCAGCATCATATGAATCCTTAAATTTAACTTTTCCTTGCACTAATGTGATTCTTTGCAGGTATACGAGGTTCTGATGAAGTTGTGCAAATTTTTGGAGTGTTGTGTATCTCAGCTTGTTGTTCTGGGGAGTCGATTGGATCCACCGAATACTCCTCTCTTTTTGGTTTTGCAAGTTATTTAGTGTTGCTTCTTATGTTTCTGTTTTTTGCCGCTCCATATAATGTTCATTTTTGTTATTTTCTCAAGGGATAAGTTTTTACCTTTTTCTATTTTGACTGGTGTCGTTTGTTTTGAAAGAATGATGCAGATATGATATTTAGAGTTTAATTAAAGACACAAATATGATACTTATCCAACGACAGAGTGACCATAAAACTTAGCTCTAGATCTATTAAATTTCTCTCTGCAGAGGCCCCAACATACATCCAAATATCTCACTGCCATCTCTGGTATTTAGAGTTTAATAGACTTTTATTTCAGCATGTTTTCATATACATTAGATGTTTAGTTTGGTCCTTTTTTGAAATAAGCTAGTTTAGGAGTGGACTCGGGCTGGGCCAACCGGCCCGGAACCGGACCGACCCGCTACTGTACGGGCCCGGACCGGCATGGTGAACCGGTTGGTGCCCGGTTCGGGCCACCCGGCCCGGTGAGGTAGGCAGTTTGGGCCCAGGCCTCCTAAATCGTGAACTGGCCTGGCTGGTTCGGGCCCGGTCCGGGCTGGGTATGATGGGCCATTTGAAGTATTGGTGTGGTTTGGGGGTGAGGGGGGAGGGTAGGGGTGGATTCTGTTCGGGCCACCCGACCTGTGACCCGGCCCGGCCTGGTACTGTGTGGGCCCGGAACCGGCCCGGTGTAGACCTGAACCGGTGGGAATAGGCGGGGCGGGCATGGTTCTCGAAAAATGCGACCCGGCCCGGCCGGGTCGAGCCCGGGTCCGGGTCCAACGGTCCTTTAATTTTTTTTTTAAATGGCTACTAGCTGTTATGGGTGGGCTGGGGACAACCCAAACGGCTACATGGGCTAGGGACAACCCAAACGGCTACATAGCTGTTGGGTGGGTCTTGGGGGGGTCTGGGGGGTTGGGTTGTGGGGGTGGGGGTGGGGTGTAAAAAACCTTTAAATACTCCTAATCTTAAACATTTTTTCATATCTCTTCTCCAATTCTTTCTAAATCCTATTCTTAACTCTCTACTCTCTAATTCTCTTATTCTCCATTCTCCAATATATTACATTTATTATTTATAGTTTATAACTTTATATTAATTATCTACTTATATAAACTATAAATAGATATAAGTAGTATTATATTACTTATATTTGTTATCTAATTATATATTACTTATATATTTATTATATATATTAATATAGTTGGAATTATATCTAATTAATTTGAAGTCATTCTATTACTCCCATCCGAAAGAGGTACGAAATTATTCTATTATTTACACTTGTTTAATTTTGTATTAACGTTACTTGAAAAAAAACTAGTTAATTAGGTTGTACAATTTGCTATAACTCGAATTAATAGTTAGATTAATATATTGTACAAAATTCTAGTATTTACATTTGACTCTAGTTTAAAACACCAGTTGTAATTCTAATTATAGTTAAAGTTAAAGAGTATTAATTTCATTGTTAGTAAAAAAAATATATTGTACACAAAACTAGTTAATTCACTAGTTAATTTGCTATAACTCGAATTAATAGTTAGATAAATAGTTAATTACTTTTTTACAATTTTTTATTAATTGCTACATTTGACTCTAGTTTAAAAAAATATGTTGTACACAAAACTAGTTAATTCACTAGTTAATTTGCTATAACTCGAATTAATAGTTAGATAAATAATTAATTACTTTTTTACAATTTTTTATTAATTGCTTCATTTGACTCTAGCTTAAAAAATATGTTGTACACAAAACTAGTTAATTCACTAGTTAATTTGCTATAACTCGAATTAATAGTTAGATAAATAGTTAATTACTATTTTATAATTTTTTATTAATTGCTACATTTGACTCTAGTTTAAAAATATATGTTGTACACAAAACTAGTTAATTCACTAGTTAATTTGCTATAACTCGATTTAATAGTTACATAAATAGTTAATTACTTTTTTAAAATTTTTTATTAATCGCTACATTTTTTAGATGGATCGTCCTAGATATTCGGTTGATATGGGTAACCTCGAGCGCAACCGAACGAAAGAGCTTGCGAGGAAGAGATCCGGCAAAGGTAAATCACATATCGGCTCTTCATCTCAAAGTCGAGATGATTTTGATACGGGTTACGTAAGGAGGGATGGGGATGCGATGACCGACTAACAACTAGAACAAGAAGTGCACCGACATAATTCCCGCTTTTTTCAAGACCAAGCGAGGGCCATTGACGAAGAAGAGCTCGAGGCCGAGGATGACGATGTGGAGGAAATAATTCCGGAGAGCCACGACGATGAGGAGGAAGAGGGTGGCGGCAGCCATGACGCCGACCAACCTGCCTCATCCCAAACAGGTACAAAAAAAGTAAATCTGAACTAATGGCTAATAATTTTTCTAAGTGGAAGGACCCGAACACCGGGAATTGGACCGCAACTTGCAATTGGTGCAAGAAAAACTATAGCTTGGGGATTTCCGGCGGATACGGATCCGCCACAAGACACCTTAAGTCCAAACACCCGGTGGAGTATGCAAAATTAGGCGGCGGAACGGGGAAGCAAACGCAAATATCGAGGTTTGCAAATAACCAACAAGCTTTTGGTAATTTTGTCATTCAATGATGCACAAAATTTGACAGGTATGGCTAACTTACTTGTTGAAGAAAATTTGCCTTACTTGTTTTCTGAAAGTCTTGCTTTTCGTGATTATGCACAAACTTGTTTAAATCCGCAATATAGAGGTTATAGTCGCAAAACGGTTAAGAAAGAAATTTCAAGGCTTTATGGTGCGGAAAAGGTAATGTTACAAAATTATTTTGCAAATTTTGATGGATGTGTTACTGTATGTTCTGACATATGGGAGGATACTTATCATAATTTACATTATTTGGGTCTGACTGTACATTATATTGATAATGATTGGCATATGCATAAACATGTTCTTGCTTTCCGTGAATATAATGATCGTCACACCGCTGAACATATTTATATTTTGATTGAGCGTATTTTAATTGAGTATAATTTAATTGATAAGGTGTTTGCTATTGGTTTTGATAATGCTACTAATAATACTGCTGCTATTCCTAGATTGCGTGAATTGTGTGGTTCTACTTCTTTGATGGGTAGATTTTTTCATCAACGATGTGCATGTCATGTTCTAAATTTATGTGTGCAAGATGGTCTAAAAGCGTTGGGAGCATCGTTGGAGGTAGTCAAGGGGGGGATTAGACGTATTTGGGGTAATTGACAACTTAGGAAAAAATGACATGATTATTTGATAGAAAGAGGTGAGAGATATGTGGCTTTTCCTAAAGATTTGTCTATTCGTTGGAATAGTACCTATAAGTTAATTGAAGTTCTTCTTAGATATAAACAACATTTTCCTGCTTTTATGAAACAATATGATAACTATATTATAAACTCGGCTGAGATCGACACCTGTGAAAAATTTTGTAATGCTTTGATATATTTTAATAATGCAACTGAAACTTTTAGTCATGTTTATAAACCTACCTTAAACCAATTTATTCGTGAAGCTGTTAATCTCGCCGATGCTTTTTCAAATTTTGAGAATGCTGATTATGTGAGTTATTTTGCTAGTTTTATGAAGGAAAAGTTTTTAAAATATTATTCACATATTCCGCATATTTATGGTATTGCATTTGTTCTCGATCCTCGTTTTAGACTTGGTTCTTTAGAAGAATGTTTGAATTATTATTATGCTGTTTTTTTGGTCCATTGCCAATGTATGAGGATAACCCAATTGATCCGAAAAAAGAATACAACGAGGTTAGTGATATATTTTATGCATTATTCAATGAGTTTCATGCACAATATGGCAATGCGCCCCCTCCCCCGACACAAACATCATCTAAAGGAAAATCAATTTTCAAATCTACGTTTGCCAATCTTATTAAAAAAACGAAATCAACTCCCGCTACACAACAAAGCACAATTAATGAGATTTCTTTGTATTTAACTTATGATGTTGATTTTGAAGAAGATGATGATTTTGACGTACTAAACTGGTGGAAGGGAAAAGAAAGAATGTTCCCGGTTTTAGCAAAGATGGCTAAGCAAGTGCTATCAATGCCGGTTTCAACGGTTGCCGTGGAACAAGAATTTAGTTCGGCCGGCAATGTCCTAACACAAACCAGAACGAGGTTGAGCGCTGAATCTCTTGAGATGCTTATATGCTACAACGATTGGTTGAAAGCAGCCCGTAGAGCTCAAAAAATTGACATCACCCCATCCCAACACTTTATGGATGAATCTACAACCGAGGGTGACTCTACCTATGGCGGAGATTCCGATTGAAATATTGAATGATTGATTAGTATTTCATGTTTTAAAAACAATTATTATAGTTCCTATTTAATTTTCAAATGTAGTTCCTATTTCATTTCAAATAAATGCACTTGAAGTTTGTTTTTTAATACTTGTATAAAACTATAAAGTATAAAATATAAATTTTTAAAAAAAAATATTTAACCGACCCGGCCCGGCCTGGCGGGTGGCCTGACCCGTGACCCGGGCGGGTGGCCCGGCCCGAACCGGACCCGTCCAACACTCGGGCCGGTCCCGGGCCCATGTGATACGAACCGGCGGCCCGACCGGGCCTAGGCCCGGCCCGGCCCCGACCCGGCCCGAATCCACCCCTAGGGGAGGGTTGGGGGTTAATTAGGAAAAGCCAACAAAAAAATACAAGAACCGAGGCCCGGCCCGACCCGGACCGGACCCGGGGTTACCCGGGCCGGTTCTGGGCCTCCCCTTTCATGAATCAAGGCCCGGCCGGGCTCAGGCCTGAACCGGAACCGGTCCACCCCTAAGCTAGTTTTACTTCAATCTCAGCCTTAAAAAAAGTAGTTTTTTAAAAGGTCAAAAATTAGTTATGAGCTTTAGATATAAGTCATATAACAATTCAAGTGTAATAAGTAAAAAAAGAGCAATGATTAATTCTATATTTCTATTGTTGGAACTTGAAAGAGAACCTTATATTTGAAATTCAAGTGTCAAATGAGAACCTTGGAAGGGGAAGATGGAGTAAAAGATTTGATTAATTCATCAATATTATAAAAGCAAAAATGTCTCGAGGAGAAATAGGGATGGGCCCAACCGGCCCAGAACCGGCCCGGCCCACTACAGTAGGCATGGATCGGTTCCGGTTCGAGCCCGGTTCAAGCCTGGGCCCGGACGGGCCTCGGTTCAAGAAGGGGAGGCCCGGAACCGGCCCGGGTAACCCCCGGGTCCGGGCCGAGCCGGGCCTCGGTTTTTTTTTTTG